GGCTTTTTTTAAATTTTAATTTAGCTTAACGTAATGTTCCAGCATTTCTGATAAAACTACTGTTTCCTGGGAATCTAAGGAAATTTGTGTTTAATGCTCCAGATTGAGCTTTTCAGAGAGGCAACAAGGAAGTTTAATTTCAAGCTTCAGCTGAAAACTGATGAAAACTAGTGCCGCTTCTTTTAGCGGTTGGGAAATGCAAGACAAGGCCGTTCTCTGCACTTTTTTTGTTGCACGAGTAAACGCAGAAGTGTTATCTATGTTTTTTGAGAAGTATCCCCTTATAAAGATGTAAATATTACTTTTGGAAGCAGTTTCTTTAAAACAGTCATCTCAGTGGTAGGAATCTGTTTTTCAGATGCTTAAAATAAGTTAATATCCAATATTGGGAAATAGATGAATAACATTAAAATGGTGCATATGCATAACAGTATAACTGTGATTACTATATTATGCTCTGTGCAACCTTGATTCAGGTCATCTGTGCCTGTACATCAGGACAGGATTTATGGCCTGTGCCTATTTTACTAAAGCTACCTTTTTACATCTGTTTATCCATTTCTTGATGTCCAGCTGGTGACCATTGAATCCAGTTTAGATTAGAGATTCTAATGCTTACAAAGTTGGAGAATGCAATACAATACTGGGAATCTTGAAAGAGACTGTCCTGTGTATCTCACATTTGTCTCCCAAAATAGAAAGATGTTTACACTCACCTATTCTGACTCTCTTTGTCATTCTTGAGAGATATGTTGTGAAAACTTATTTTATGAAAGCTCTTATTGCAGAGAATGAGTTCTGTAAAGAAGCCAAGCATGATTCCTTAGGGTGTGATGAGTCAGGTAAAGAACTTCTTAAAAAGAATTGTTCAGAGTATGAGCAGTATCACTTCTGTATACTGAATGAAGTAGAACTCAGTTGTAGGAAAAAAGCCCACATGTCATTGGATAGTTTGAAAGTCTCTACCTGTCTGGAAGAAAATCCAGAAAATAATCTGGAGTTACATGTGATTGCTTACTAGGAGCGTAGTATGTGCTATAGCATTTTTGAAGACCAACTAAATTGGAATGTCTCACATCAGGACAATATACTCTGGTCTAGTGTATTTTCAGGTTAGAGATACTTAAACATTCTTTTTGAGAAAGTAATGTGAAGGTAATTATAAGGGTTGGACAAAACAACCAGCTGGTTCAGTTTTCTATCTCATGGTGGCTTAAGAGAGGCATACAATGATGGTTTCCTTAGTGAACTTGTAGTAGCCTGCAGTTCAGGGTCTGCCTGAGCCAGAGATTCTCTTCGGTGTTTAGCAACACTTGCTATGCTTTCCTCTCCCTCAGGGATTTATATGGTCTTTTTAAATTTCCCTAGAGTTTTGTCATCTGCAGTATTATGTAGCAGTAGTTCAGCAGCTTAACTCCATATTTATATTATGTGCTTACTGTTGGTACCTAATGATTTAATTTATTGCCTTAGTTATTTTATTCCTAGATATAATGAAAATCTTCACTTACCTTCATGTAATTTTTTTTTTCCTAAACTCTATATAATCTTCTTAACTACTCTGCTTTTTCAGGCTAAATAAAGAGTGGAAGTATGTTCACTTCCCTTTATAATGAGAGGAATTCTTTTACCCTTTCCTTTATTTTTCTAAGTTTTACACTTATTTTTTTCTAATGAGAGGAGGGGAGCTTGGGATAGAAGAGACTAAATTAGCATGCATCATTCAAGATATAAGCACACAAAGATTTTGTACCACAGCATAAGGGATTTCTGGGTTTGTATTGAAGGTTTGGGGGATAGTACACTTAGGCCATTTCTTCACTTCAATACTTTCCTTGAAGTTCTAACAATTCTGTTTGTTTTTTTGGATTACTACTGGTGTTTTCTCATAGGGTTGTCTGTGGTAGCTCCAGTTATTTCTTTTTCTCCTCAATTTCAACACTGTATGTTATTATGATATGTGAATTTACATCTACCTATTTGAAATTTTATCTGCCATTTTATTTTTTCAGCTACTATTTTGATACTGTGGTAGAGTTTTCAGCAGTGAGCTTCAATTTCTGTTGCAGTGGATAATTTACTAAACCAAGAAAATTGTCTTCCTCACTGTTCATCTGTGATTGAATCAGGCAAGATGAATTCTTATGGTGACCTGCTTTCTCTGAAAAAGCTGAATATTTATTTTTAACCTTTTAGCTTTTTGTCTGCTAACATAACTCTTCATTTATAAGAGGACCCCCCCTCTTTGGACTGTTTGGTGTTTTTAAGACATTTTTGTAAGAGAACTTAAGACCTTGATCTAAATAAGTCAACCACATATTTGTTCCTTCCTCCTGATATCTTTGAGCAATTATAATTACTGGCATTTACAAAAGTAACACTTATTCTTTTGCATAGTATCCTCTGTGTGTATCTCCTACAGAAACACAGAATGGTTGGGGTTGGAAGTAACTACTGGAGGCCACCCAGTCTCATCCCTGCTAAAGCAGGTTAACCTAGAACATGTTACATAGGATTGTATGCAAGTGGGTTTTGAATATTTCCACAACCTCTCTGGGCAGCCTCTTCCCACGTGCTGTCACCCTCAAAGTAAAGATTTACCTCATATTCATATGGAATTTCATGTTTTTCAGTTTGTGCATGTTACCTCTTATCCTGTTGCTGGGCACTATTGAAAAAAGTCTGGCCTCATCCTCTTGAGACCTATCCTTAATATATTTATTTGTATGCATTAATAAGTCCCCTTCTGTCTTCTCTGGGCTAGATCTCTGTACCACTGATCACAGCCCTCTGACCTTTGCCATTCAACCAGTTCTCAGTCCACCTTACTGTCTACTCAGCTAACCCACACTTCCTGAGCTTACATATGAGAATTCTATGGGAGATGGTGTCAGAAACCATGCTGAAATCAAGGTAGACGGCATGCACTGCTGCCCCTTCATCTTCCCAGCCGGTCCAGGATGACTTGTTCCATCACCTTTCCGTGGATGGAGGTGAGGCTGAATTGCCTATGGTTTTCTGAGTCCTTTTTCTTGCCCTTTTTGAAGACTGGAGTGATATTGGCTTCTCTTCAGTCCTCAGGAATCTTTCCTGTTCTTCATGGCCTTTCAAAGATTAGTGAGAGTGGCCTAGCAATAGCATCTGGTAACTACCTCAGCACTTGTGGATGCATAGCTCAGGGCTCATGAATTTTTGGGTGTGAGGTTTGCCTAAATGATTTCTAACCTTATCCTTGACCAAGAAAAAACCCCCAGGGTCTGGGATTTCTGAGGGCTAGCTTTAGCAGTAAGAGTTCAGTAACTCTGTTCAGTAACTCTGCTTTCTCTGTACCCTTTGTCACCAGGGCACCTACTTCATTCAGCAGTGGGCCCACATTTTCCCAAGTCTTCCTTTTGCTACTGATGTCCTTCAAGAAACCCATCTGGTTGTCCTTGATATCCCTTGACATATTTAATTCCAAGTGGGCCTCAGCTTTCCTTGACACATCCCTACCATACTCTGACAGTATTCCTATATTCCTCCTGAGTGACCTTTCCCTTTTTCCATATCCTGTAAACTTCCTTCTTCTGTTCGAGTTTTGTCAGAAGTGCCTTGCCCATCCATGCAGATCTTCAGCCCCCATTGCTTTTTTTCTTATCCATAGGGATGCCCTGATCAAAAGCTTGGAGAAAGTAATACTTGAATATTAACCAGCTCTCTTGGACCTGCCCTACCTCCTAGAGACCTAACATGTGAGGTTACTCTAAGTAGACCCTTGAAGAGGCCAGAGTTAGTTTTCCTGAAGTGCAGAGCTGTAATCCTACTTAGTGTTGTACTCCACCATCTTACCTTGGTCACTGCAGCGAAGGCTGCCCTCTGTTTTCACATCCCCATCCTGTCCTTCTGTGTTTGTTAGTACAAGGTCCAGCAGCACATCTGTCCTCGTGGAAGGTTGTCATGAGCGCTCTGTAAAAACCTTCTGGGCTCCTGCGTGCCAAGGTGTGCTGTCTTTCCAGCAGCTGCCAGGGTGGTTACGAGAACCATGGGTGTGTGATCATGAGGCTGCTTCCAGCTGTCTGTAGAAGGCCTCATCTACTTCCTCTTCCTGATCAGATGGCCTGCAGTAGACACCCATAAGAGTGTCATCCATTTTAGCTTATCCCTTAATTTTTACCCATAAGCTCTTGGCTCCTCCTTTGTCCACCCCTAGGCAGAGCTTGATACATTCCAGTTGCTGTCTCATGTAAAGAGCAACTGCACCACCTCGCCTTGCTGGCCTCTTTCCTAAAAAGTATGTAACCATCCATGACAGTATTCCAGTCATGCAACCTGTCACACTATATCTCTGTAATTGCAGTGAGATCATGGCTCTGTGACTGCACACTAGTTCTAACCTTGACTGTTTCTACAGGTTTGTCCAGTAGAGGTATCATACTTACTTATGTGGAGCAGTTATTATTCCAGTATGGAGCATATTTAAAACTCTGGAAAGACTACTTTTACTGTTTGTGTTCAGAAAACTTTATTTTTGAGAATTCCTCTAGCTTATTCTCATTTAAGTCCGGTATGGGAGCCTCAGAAAGCTCCTGTGTACTAAATTCTGATGGGAAGAATTAATTGGTTTCTCTATGTAACTTGTGCAAATATGAGCAGACTATTTTAAGGACAAAAAATAGCATCTCTTACCCTACACTCTTGCTTAATTCTAGGTATAGGAGTTTTAGGTTATTACAAAGGAAGAAATCATCAGCTCTTAAAATTGTTTTTAAATACTGAAACTGATTGTTTTCCCAGTCTTGCAGTGTTCAGTTGTGAAGCTCATTTGGTTGTATTTTGCTCAGAAAAGTTCAGTCTGAAACAGAAAAAGTGTTTTGGAAGATTTTAGCCTGAATGATTACTGTTTACCATAACAATGAGTAACTGCAAATAATAACAGTATCAGCCAGATCTGTAGTACAAGTAGATAACTTGTGTTTTTTGTGTCTTTGGTTTGTTTTTTGGTTTTCTCCCCGCTTTTTAAGCCTATGGAAAAGTGTTCCTAGTGAGGAAAGTAAGCGGCCATGATGCTGGAAAACTGTATGCCATGAAAGTACTGAAGAAAGCAACAATAGTTCAAAAAGCCAAAACAACTGAGCACACAAGGACAGAACGACAAGTCTTGGAGCACATTAGACAATCACCATTTTTAGTCACGTTGCATTATGCCTTCCAGACAGATACAAAGCTTCATCTCATTTTAGGTGAGTAGTCTTGTGGATTTAAGTCTTATGTTAATGAAAAAAAAAGAAAAAGGCCCTTTTATTGCAATATTTTGTAGGTTTTTTTCATGTGGCCTTAAGTACAGTATGTTTGGAGATCTCATGAGAGAGCATAGGAAGCAAAATACCGTTCATCTTCAACAGTGTCTGTATTTGTGGTTTTCCTGTTTGAACTTCAGTGTGCTACTCTGGGAGGGTTGGTGGTATCTGCGACTAATATGCAGCAAAAAATGTATGTGTATATTCATCAATGACCTGGAAGCATTTGATGCCAAAACTTTTGTTGTGAAATAATTTGATCTTAGAGTATTGAGATACCTTGCATGTGTCAATTTTTTGGGTGTTAAAAAATAATCAAAAATCACATGTTTCTGTGCTGTAAGTAGAGCTTGTTCATAAGGTTTGGTACCACTCCAAGATTAAAAATATTTCTACCTTTCAGCTTAGCAGCAAATTTAGTGTTTATAATTTAGTGTTAATAACTTAGGAAAATTTGAGAGATTAAATGAGAAAGAATGTGAATATTTATTATAAATATTATAATACCATTCTTTGAATCGAGATGCTTTTGTATAGAATGCAGATACTATTTGAAATATTAAAAAAAGGAGGAAACAAAAAAATAAACACCCCAACCTCAAACCTGAGACGGATGTATTTACTTAAAAATAAATACATAGTAATGGAGAAATTTACGTGACAAGGATAATTAGAAGACCATAAAAGCCTCTTATATGAAACAAAATTAAAAGCTTGATTTTTATATTCTTTTAAGAGTCAGAGAGGAGCAAGCCCAGTAGTTCTGAAGAACATTACCTAGCAAATAGTGCAGACTGGGCACATGTCCACCATAATACAATGTTGAGATGATGTTTGAAGGAAGAAATTTATAGCTAATGTATAATTACAGCCCTCTGCTTTGTTTTGTTTTTTCCGTTAGTTCTATATCCATTCTCAGGATATCCACTGGGTCCAGAAAGGTCCTTTATTCCTTCTTTTTAGGAGAAAATGGGAATAATTAGAGTTTGAAAATTTCTTTTAATCACTTTTTTGATCAGCGTAAATTTTTTCTACCTAAGATGATGTAAAGCTACTTTATAATTCAACTGAGCTTCACGCCCTCTTGAGGGAAATAGAACAAAATACTTGTTACAAGCTTTTCATGTCTCATTATGTAAGTCTTTGTAAATCACTTCAGTTTAGTTTTGAAATGTATGTGTTTCAGAGGCTTCTGAATTTTGGGGGAAACCAGTGTCTGTCTTGTTTTTGTACCTGGCTGAACTTAGTGCGTGAGAACGTGCCATTTTAGCTCCAAAAGTTTTTAGAATTGGAACCTCAGTGCAATATTTAGTACAGTTCTTCATGCTGTCAGATTACATAGCTGTATGAATAGACTTAATCAAGTACAGGCGTGCAGCTGCATTTCTGCCAAATTTCCAGAATGCAGTGTTTGGAGGTGATTCCAGTTTTTACATTGGCTTTAAGGTATATTGAAAGAACTAAGTGTTGTGTCCATGTGAATGCCACCAATCCTATGCAAAGCTTGTCATGCAAGGTTAACCTACTAGTACTTAAAAAAAAGCTAAGTAATCTGAACTGTCAGATGGAGTTTATATTGAACTAACTGGTAATTTTTTTTCCACTATGTCAGCCGTGCATTTGATCTAGCACCAAGAACATGAAGGCTGGATGTTTCACTGGGCTGTGGTTAATGTTAAAACCTGCATAGAATTAAGCTTGTTGTGCCATTCCTGTGGTAGTGTTGGTTTGGATCTGTCACAGTCCTTAGGACAGTGCCTGGGAATTCAATGCTTACCTTAATACTAAGTTAGCAGTTCCAGCTAGAAATATTTAAAAAAACTTGTTTCTATTAACTTTTTTCTATATGCTGAAGTTTTTTTTTGAAGAAGGAAGCAATTGTAAAATGTAGGTTATTTATATTTCATGAAATCTTTTTCATATGCTTACTGATCTAGATAAGTACTTTTCCTTGCATTGTTTGGTTCAACTAGTATTCCTTCTCAAACAGACAACTGGAGAACTAAAAAGTGGAGAGAGATCAGAATGTCTGTGATTTATATATATGCTTTCTCCTTCAAACTAGTAACTTGCAGTAGGATTGGACCCTTTTCATGGATTTAGGTCTTATAGCAATAAATCTAGAGAAACAATTTTGAAGAAAATATTGGGTAAGATGATGTGGGGCGTGTTCCCTGCTCTGTACATGTAGACCTCAAATACAGTAATGGGGGCTGTGAGGTTGCAAATTAATGGCTGTAATAATGTACACTGCTAGCGTAACAGCTCTTCATCTAAAATGTGTTTGTGTTGCAGTGGAGCTCTGTTGTAATAGTTACTTTTTTTCTCAAGGAAAACCTTGTGTCATAGCCTGCAAAGAATGAAAGTGTGGTTTCCATGAGGGAGTGTATGTGGAAATAATCTCCTCCAGAAATTTTTGCCATCTCAGTTTCCCTTGTGAAGGGAAAATTTTGTGATTGTCCACCAGTTGATTATTTCACCTAATACCTGTTTTCTGAATTGCTTTGTCAGTCTGCCTTGTTGCTCACAAGAGTATTTCATAAGAGACTGCAAATACTCTGTAGATATAATTTGTACTCCTTTCTTTTCATATTCCTAAATAACTTAAAGACTGATTTTGCAAAACATGCCATCTTTATAATTTATGAATACCTGAGGCTTATTTTGTGGTTTTGCTGCTTACTTTAAAGTAGATCTTGTTCTTCCCTCAGCCCTCTAAGAAGGAAATTGAGTATTGTACAACATGATAAAATATTAGTGAGTTACAGTAAAGTAAAAGCATCTGATAGCAGAATGTGTTACTAAATAGCTTACCAAGTACCTCATACTGTTCCAGTTAGAAAATTAAATTGTCAGAAAGTGAAATTATAAGGTTCTTTTTTCTACTTTTTAGACTATATAAATGGAGGAGAATTGTTTACTCATCTTTCACACAGAGAGAGATTCTCAGAAAATGAGGTGCAAATTTACATTGGGGAAATCGTTTTGGCTCTTGAACATCTCCACAAGGTAAAGTAACTTTATCCTAGTGCTGATTTTGAGGACCTACAGCTGTATTCTCTCTGCGTCATATTAAGGCTACAAATTTTTGTCTGTGTTGTGAAGAGTAGTCTTGTTGAGAAATGATTGTTAATTTTTAGTAATCCTGTGAAATGGTCTATGTCAGTAAAACTAATTTGTAGTGAACATGAGCAAGGTGTGGGTTGTAGTGTTGTTCAGTTGTCCTTCTTTCAAAACAATTGAGTGGTAGAGTTCTAGCACACTTGTAGACATGAAAATTATTACAATTTTCAGAAGTAGTAAGTATATTTGTAGACTATGACAAAGCATGGATATATCTATATCTAAAACCTATAACAGAAGCATCCATTTCCATTTTTAGTGAAAACTGAACTGAGTTGTGCACTCAACAGCAATATTCAATCTCTTGGATTCAAGGGAGATGTATAATGCCCCTAAAATTTTAAGACCTTAATGCAAGTGTAATTTTAAAGTTAGTTCTTCAAAGGCATTTAAAAAGTATCCTTTTTGAGGTGCAACTTTCATGTGTCAGATTATCTTAATAGTGGAAGTTTTGGTCACTTCATATCTAAATGCATTCTATGATGTCTCCTTGATGTGGTTACACTATTTGTAAATACTTTTTCTTATATTCTGTTTGCAGTTGGGGATTATATATCGGGATATAAAACTTGAGAATATTCTCCTCGATTCTGATGGCCATGTGGTGCTGACAGACTTTGGTCTGAGTAAGGAGTTTCTTACTGATGAGGTGAGTATATGACTCTCCAGTAAGTGTGGACAGAATTGAGCAAGAACACAAAGTCAGATTTTTATCTCATTGAGATCATAAACACATTTGAGAAGGGTGGAAAACCTGCATTCTAGGCACATTGTAGAACGAGATCTAGTAGTCTGTTTTACTAGGTTTTGAGCTTTCAGTTCATTGGTCTTAGGCCTGCCAGTGTTGTCAGACTTCTTTGTTCTAGTTCTCCCTGAAAAGTCTTCGTACTTTCTTCTGCTGCTCTTGACGTGAAAAAGCAAAGATCCACATAAGTCTGAAAAGCCACTTACATTTTCATTTTCAGATGCTTTCTAAAAAATGCTTGACTGTGCTAATACTTTGCAGTGACTAGGCAAATGGTATGCTATGACTCTTCTTTATGCTAATAATAATTAATGTATTATTATCTTGTCTCTTTCTCATGTCTTCGTGTCACTTCTAATAAGCTTAATTGCAAGCTTTTAGGATAAAAGCTTATCTCTTACTAAATACGTACATAGTATCTAACACAGTGATCTCTGACTGTTGACGTTAGTTGTTAATTATTTGTAAGGTGCAGTTTTATCTCCAAATATGCTTTTTAGATCACAGAGAGACAAAATTGAGCAGGATTTTACTTCTGAGAGAATTTTAAAATGGGTGTTTTTTGGTCTTCATATTAGCTATCATAGGTATTGAAATCTGAAAGCAGATCTAAAAGTCTTTGTTGGAAGCAACAGAAGGGTTTTCTAAAAATAGATAGCTGGTAGTTCCCTCTAGATTATTTGCATTTCAAATAGAGTCTGGTAGGATTTGGGAGGGATCATTTTAAGAGATACGAAATTTTCCTTTCTGAAGCAGGGAAATAGTACAGATATTGTCAGTATATTCCTTTTAAATTATAGCCTGAAACCAAGAGGAAGTTCAACTGGTATGAGAAGGGGTTAGCAACAGATTGCCACACCAGTGCAAGAGAGTAAGTATAGAGAGAGGCAATTTTCATCAGGGAAGAATGGTAGTAAAAGGTGTGGCTAGGGACAGTGGGACCTGCTTAGAGTTGTGAGAGAAACTGCTGGGCACACTAGGCGAAGTAAAGGACATGGGATGGTGTTACTGCACTGATGGAAGAGAAAAGGAGCAGTCCACTAGCTTTGGGGCCAAAGTAGAATGAAGCTGAGAACCTTTAAGTCTCAAAAGAATTGATTTTAAGAAATATTATCTCCTCTGAGTTCACCTTTGGCACATCATTTACAAGCAGTGCAAGGAAGGGGGAGGACTTGGATAAGCATCAGAAATGCCTGTCTGCTTTACCCACACTCTGAATTGGATTCCTCTTTCTCCAGTCATTAAATGAAGAAATCTTGCTGCTTGGTCATTTAATGTTGGTTCCTCTGATTCTAATCCATTCTGTTTTCACTATATACCTCTGAAATCTCTTCATTTAACTATATTTTTTTCTCTTATTCTCCTTCACATTTTACATTTATCTTCCCTGTCAAAAAAGCTCAACATTTCTAGTATTTCTTTTAAGGAAAAAAGTAATTGCAATGGTGTTGTTTGCTTTCAAAATCTAAGAAATTGTCTTCACTTGACAGAAGTTTTCATGTATGCTATTGTAATGTAGCTGTTGAACCTAAACATGATTAAAATGACCCATTTACACACAGAAATGGACATTTCATAATGTGGTTTCTGTAGATAATTCAGCTACTGCTAGAACACTTACAATTCATTACAAAATACATTATACTTTTGAACCAATGTATTTGCAGCAGGTAGACTTTGCCTGTATAACTGCATAGCTTTCTGTCTGTTTTCATGCTTATTAGGTAGCACTTTTAAATAACATTACACAACTATGTAAGTCAGATAAGAGTGTAGTGCTTGCAATTTAATCAGAGTGGTGTACTTTCCTTTGTCTCCACTTCTTCATGTCTTTCCTGGTCCACCTGCTTCTTGCAAGAACTTTGCTATTAAAAATACGTGCTTAAGCAGCTGGAATTTTTTCTAGTAACTCCCCTCTTTGGACTGTGTTTTCTGAAGCAAGATATACTTAGGTTATTAAAAATGTATAAAAATGATCATAGCATTTACTACATTTAAAATTCTTATCACAGAGATCTCTTTATCATGTATTTATGAATTTTGGAGGGTTTTGTAGTTAGGGGTGCTTGCTAAAAAACATCATGGTTCAATGTTTTTGTTATCTTTGCTTTAATCTGATGACTGTTTAAGATTTCCAGGTACTTGGGCAAGTACTGAATTTAACAGAAGTTGTTTTGTAATAAAAAGAGTGCACCATTTCTTGAGTACAATAATTAGAGCAGATTGACTGTTCAAAAGCAAAGAGGTGGGAAGCTGCTTTTCCTAAGCACTGTTTGAGTGAAAGGAAGCAAATGCATGTGACTTGTAGGAAAACAGAAACCTATTGATTTCTGCCATGCAGCTACTGAAACATGAGTGTGAAGAGTGCATTGTCAAGTATCCTCTCTGTCCTACAGTTGTTTTGTGAAAGTGCAAGCGTTAAATATCTAAGAAAGCAGTGCAGTTTTAAGAGCTTTTAAGCATTTTTTGCTACTGTGTCACTAAAAGCTGAAACTTGTCTTATAGGTTTTACCTTTGTTTATCTTTAAAATGAAGCTATATGCTTTTGTTTACATGCAAAGAGAAGAAATAACCTGACTAGAATAAAGCAGTTGAGTAAAAATGAATTTTCACATAGTATCACAAGATATTTAAGTATGAAATTACTTCTGGTGTTCAAACTTTATTTACTGTCTCATGAACACCTACAGTTTTACAAGCCTAACCATAACATGTAATTATGTAAGGGATTGAGATTGAAAAGAATAGTATCCTTTATTACTCTTTATGGCATTTGTATTCTTAACTATGTGATGAATTTAAGGCTAGGCTATGATTTTTAACTCTATACTGAATTGCACAGAAATTCAGAGTAAAACAGACAGTTTTATTCTTGTGCTTTCATGCATCTCAGTTGAGTGTTTGTCTAACTGGGATGTAAAATAAATTTTCACATGACATCAGTATAAGTTATTGGGGACATGGAGAATTGGTAGGACTTGAAACTTCTACAGCACCACTGTGTTCATTGCACAAGTGAAATCACTTCAGTGTTGCTATTTTTTTCAAGAGTTTTGTAATATATTTATGTTTAAAAACACCCCAAACTCCTATGTTGTTGCTTTGGTTTTTTTTCCCCCCCATCCTATGTCTTGTGTGTTCTTCTGGATTTGTGGCTTAGGCATGTTTTTGTCTTTTAATCTCATTAACAGCTCTACTTGTATGCTGGAATTATTTTGATTTGGTCAATGTCAGTTTAACCTAGTCATCAGGCCTTGTCTTAATTTTGATGTTTATTGTTAAAATGCTACTTAATTTTTTAAAAAAATATTTCTTTCCCTTCGCTTTTCTTTTAGTTCTGTAACTACACTAAAATCATACTTTAGTATATATGGAGATCTTTGTCTTAGAAGGAATAATATGAACACATTCACTGAATTACTGTAAAAGTAATCTATTTGACCACACATAATGATTAACATTTTCCCTGTTAATTAAATCCAATAAAGTACACTTTCTTCCAGAGTATAGTGAAGTGCTCAATTCTTCTGCATTGGTACATGTCTTCTGCATTAGCTTCAGTTTGTTTTGAAGTTTTTGTGTTTGCTTAATGAAGTTTAAAAAAAAATTATAGTAAATACTGAATGTTGTCAGTCTTCAAACAATGTGTCTGCGAGCGTACAAATGCCTTGGCAATAAATTATATAAAAAAGGATATTCTGAATGAGGGGTGATTGAATTGAAATCTAAGTTGGTTGAATAGATATCTGTGTGCTTCTGTCTGATATGTAGAATGAACAGTTCATATGCATTATTGTTTTTTCACCTGAAAATCTCTTGATCAGAGTTGCAGACTTATTTATAACACTCAAATGCTTTTCGCTGTTGAATTGTTGTTTGTTTTAATTTATTAGATGATGGGGTGAATATTTTGTTCTGGAAACAAAATTAGTATGTTATTTTAGAAGATTTTAAAGGACATTTCATTGAAAGAAGAATGATGAAGTGGAGGTTAAGACCCAAGTATGGATCTTGATAGATGAAGTAGGAAGAGATTTGTACATGTTCTTAGTGCAGTTTAAAGGTAGTCCAGAACAGAGAGAAGTGATTATAACTTGACTCATTTAGTACTTGAAAAACTGTCATCTCACCTGAGTGACCTGGTAGATTAGCTGTGCATTGAACTGTAAAAGACTCTGTATAGTTGTCCAATTGAACTCATAACGTTTGTGCAGTTAAATAGTGCCTCCTCTGAACACTGAGCATTCTCTTGCAGAGATGAGTAAAATAAACTGTGCTGCTTGTGTTTCGAAGAATTGTTCAGTGATGTAGACATAATAAACATGGTTATGAGGAGTAGATTTATATTTCTGCAAAGAGGAAAAAGTAAGCAAGAGTGAACTGAATAATGAAATTAGTCCACAGAAGTTAACATGGGTTGTAGATCTGTCTGGATAATTAGTATTTTTTTTCCCTGATTTTGGAAAAGAAAATGAAACAATGGCAAAAACTTCTTGCTTTATTTGGTGTACTCCTGTCAGTGTTTTAACTGTTCTGAAATTGAATATTAAGAACATACCAAACACTCTAAAGGCACATCACTGAGCTGGACTAATTTAATTGCAAAACCAGGTCATCAGTGATCAGATGACTCTTTGAGCCTTTGCCCAGAAGGTTTCCCTTTTCAGTGCTTATCACAAAGAAGATTGTGCTTTCTCAGCATGGAACAATATTGAAGAAGACTAGAGCGTAAAATACATTTTGTCCAGAATTTGATGCCAAAATCCTAAAGTGCCATTAAGAATTTTTGCAAGGCAGATCATGGTTTCGTACACTGACTGCTTTAAGGATATTGTTTTCTTATTATATTATACTACTTAAAAAAAAAAATCCCATTTGGGGAAGAAATACCAATCTGTGTGTTA